ACCGGTCTTCATTACAGGAAGGGGAGGAGACAAGTAGAGAGAGCAGCAGCGACTAATCTTTATTATAAGAAGCTCCCGCACACACAGGCAGTTTCACACTAGATAATTGCACAGACCTGGAAGAAATACACAAAGCACACCAAGGCAATGCCTGCTAACCCCGGAGTGCAGCTTTAACACTCATGAGCCTCTGACTTCAGCCTACTATTATATCATTACTTGAAGTGTATAATTATGTAGATAATGCTTGTTCCTTGCTGTAAAAATAACACAGAGGCCCACAGAGGGCAGATGTGTTGTTTGTCCTGATGGTACAAACAGTTCAGTCTTGTACTGTTTTCATCTAGCCACCTTATAGTTTGGTCGCATGCATCTTCACTGTGCCCGGGCTGCATGTAACAATCCTATGGTCGCCTTCTGCAGTATTCGGCCTATAGCAGCGCCTGTGCCAGGAGCCTGCTCATTCCGTTTGCTGGTGGACCTTTGTGCATTGTTCGATGGTTACAGTAGAACACACATCCATCCACATACTGACCTTTCATTTAATTGGTGTCCCTGCCCCAATGTGGGTGACCATTCCGGAGCCAGCATGGAGAAAGGCGAGCTATTTGCAATAATATGTCCCTTGTCCCTTCACATTTGTTTATTTATAGCATCAGGCTGGAGAGGGGATTCCTGTTGGTGCATCAGATCCAGGACACAGGAGCTGGAACAATGAGTGTTTTGTTGCTGGTTCCCTGGTTTTTTGAAATGTGCAACTTTAAAATGTACAATGAACATAAATGCTTAGATACGCTCTCTGCCCATTCAGGGCAAAACGATAGAGCGTGTTGAAAGCAAACCCTTCTCTCAACTCATACTTGCATTCACACCTCTTTCCTGACGCTCTATTCCTCGGATGGAACCAGAAGTCATTTCCCATTATAAGCAATGTCTCAGATGGTGTCAGAGCTTACAAACGGTAATGATGTCATTGCTACTTTTACAAGGTAAGACCTGGGTACACAAAAGCATCGATTGAATTGGAGAGATGGGCTGATGACATCATGACTCTTAGATTGTAAGCTCCAAGGATCAGGGCCCTCCTATCCCTCTTGTATTGAACTGTATTGTTGCTGTATTGTCTCCCGTTATATTGTAAAGCGCTGAGCAAACTGTTGGTGCTATATAAATCCTGTATAATAATAATATATAAAATCCTGTATAATAATAATAATATATAAATCCTGTATAATAATAATATATAAATCCTGTATAATAATAATAATATATAAATCCTGTATAATAATAATAATATATAAATCCTGTATAATAATAATAATATATAAATCTTGTATAATAATAATATATAAATCCTGTATAATAATAATATATAAATCCTGTATAATAATAATATATAAATCCTGTATAATAATATTCTATAAATCCTGTATAATAATATTCTATAAATCCTGTATAATAATAATATAAAAACTCCTGTATAATAATAATAATAATATATAAATCCTGTATAATAATAATAATAATAATATATAAATCCTGTATAATAATAATAATATATAAATCCTGTATAATAATAATAATATAAATCCTGTATAATAATAATAATATATATAATCCTGTATAATAATAATAATATATAAATCCTGTAATAATAATAATAATAATATATAATCCTGTATAATAATAATAATAATATATAAATCCTGTATAATAATAATAATGAATCTCCACCTCAGCCAATTAGAGGAAGCCTTCTATTCATTTATAAAAATAGGCTTCCTGTGAATGAGTGAGCAGTTCTAATCCCGACTTGAGTTTGTTCCAGGAGCTGGGATGGGAAGTCCCTATACCACGGTAGCGTGAGAAGGTTCCCAGGCAAATCTCCACTGTACATGCTGTTCAGATCCCTATGATTAAGTCGGAAGTGACGAAACGCGTCAGGCATGGCTATGCAGCAACCGGAAGTGACACTGACCGGAAGTGCCGCAAGCGTGGGACGCAGCGGTGGTGAGAGCACTGACTCGGCTTTCTTCACTCTAAGCTCATTTAAGAGAACATCTTTGGGATTTTTATTCATTTATATCTTGTAGGTGGCAGTCTATTGTGGCAATAAAGAGACTTTTAGCTGGTACTGCACCATTGGGGCTTTCTCTTGTTTTTTTTTTCTCTTACATGGTCATTTGAGTATGGAGTATTAGGAGAAGTGTGTAGTTAGTAGAGGTAGTGAAGTTTTCCTTTAACTAGAGATTATTATTGCAGGTACTTATATAGCGCCGTCAATTTTACGCAGCGCTTTACATACATATACACATATATATATATATTACATTCACATCAGTCCCTAACCCTCAAGGGGCGTACAATCTAAGGTCCCTAACTCACATTCATACATACACATACTAGGGACAATTTGGACAGGAATCAATTCACCTACCAGCATGTCTTTGGAGTCTGGGAGGACCTGGAGTACCCAGAAGAAAACCCACGCAGGCACAGGGAAAAACATACAAACTCCAGGCAGGTGGTGCCATGGTTGGGATTTGAACCAACGTCCCTAGTACTGCCAGGCGGAAGTGCTAACCATTTAGCCACTGTGCTGCCCATAGATGGCATCTTTGTCAAAAGGTAAATACTACAGAGCTGCAATACCAGCTGCCTTCTGCTTGTATAGACAATGGATGCGTTTTTAAACGCTGCTGCCGTGTCCAGCAACTGGTACGAGCTGCTGATGACAGACAGATAGGGAGAAACCACTACAGGAAATCAGCTTTGTTTGTTTCATTCATCTCCAAATAGGAGAAAGACAAACAAGAACATTTTCTGGGCCACTGCCAAAGGGACGCTTCCCATGTCCTCATACAGAACGCATGACGACCCCAGAAGTGTCACCCGAACCCTTGGGGCCAAGTACTTTTTTTTTTCCACACACTTTAAAGTGGAACTATAGGCAAAAAACAAAAAAAATATGTTATTCAGCAATAAAAGGTAATGCCTATAGAAGTCTTTATTCAGATGACAAGAACAGTAAAGTAGCTCTATATAGCTTTAACAATTACGCCATACTTTTTTTCTCGCTTCCTTTCAGTGTAGTGACAACGGTTTCAAATCCCCCATGAATACTGCCCACCAAGGGACTATAGTAGGACACACTGACATATGCAGTCATGTGGTTTTATCCTGCAGGGGAAGCGCACAGCCTCGACTAACCCCGCCGCCAGGAAGAATACCCAAGGACACCAACACAAACCCCACATAAGTGCTTTAAATGCTGGGAGATGTAGTCACTTCCAGGGCTGCCAGAATCTGCAGGGAATTGCTGGCTAAGTTCCCGAAAAATGAAAAAGATGAATTAACTCCAAATATTCTATTCATCCCTCCGGAAAAAAAAAGAAAAGATAATCAGTGCAAAAAACTACCCCCAGTTAAACAAACTGATTATGAAAGTTCATAAAGTCCAATGAATACAAATAAATTAGGGCTGTATACAAGTCCAGGAGGCACTTTGGGCAAGCTTCATAAAGTATTGTAGCAGAACTCTGTGGAATGAGAAAGGAAGCACCTCTAAGTGCCTCTAAATACCAAATAAAGGAAAACTCACATGTAATAGTAATATAACAGGCTTGTGTAAAGATATATTATCGAGGAAGTTGAGGAACGGCTGTGCCCCGGCTATACCAGCCGCGTCTGCGCCCAGGAATAACGAGGTGACAGGAGGAAGAAGCCGGCCAGCATGTGTAACTTCACAAAGATGGTGTCTGGAAAGCACGTTGAGGCGCGACGTCGGCGTGATGACGTCAGGGACCAGCATGCATAGCTACGCGTTTCGAAGCATGCGCTAAACCTCTAAAGGGCGGAAGCGCGCTCCTTTGTCAAGCTGACTCTCAGCCGGGACACAGCCGTTCCTCAACTTCCTCAATAAAATATCTTTACACAAGCCTGTTATACTATTACATGCGAGTTTTCCTTTATTTGGGATTTATTAAAAGTGGTTCTGCTGCACTTAGAGGCGCTTCTTTCTTTCTCATCCCTCCGGACCCCCAATGCACAAAGAGGCTGTGATGCCTCCTGAAGCCAGTGTAGCAGTCCTTACACCATAAGACGCCATCCCGGACTGAGTATCTATCATATTGCTCGCAATGGTGAGAACTCACTGATCAGCTCAATCAGGTTACCTTGCCGACCAATGACAAGCACTTCTTTTTTCTAGGACACCTTTCCGGAAGAAGCAGCCCCAGATGGGAAGGTAAAAGGAGAGGGAAGGTATTCTGTAGTCCTACACCCGGGTGATAATGCTGCTCCTCCATAAAGTTGTTGAGTGAGTGTTGTCCCTCTAGGACAGGAGATATGTTATTGGCAGGATCACCAGGTAAAAAAAAAATAAAAAGGGAAAAGTCTGAAAAGGGGAACTGATGCAGCCACATCTGGCATGGACTCATGGGACATAGAATTATCAATCCTACAGCAGGTAAAGACAGATCATATGTATACATTTTAACTTTACTACATTAACACAATCTTCCTGGTCTACAACAGCCCTGCCTTGTTTATCCAAACCAGTGAGGTACCGTCATGGGAGAAAGAGAGTGGCTCCTTTAGCGATCCTGTTGCTGCGTGACAACTTTAAGAGGCAACTTCACATATTTGTTATTATAACATACAGAATGCCAAAAAAAATAATTAGTGCCCCTCCCACTTTTTAACACTTATTTGTAATGATAAATTTCCTAATAATTGTCTCAGAAGGCCGTCCTGTTTCTGCTCTGTGCACACACAATGTGACTCCAAGTCAAGAGCCTTCTTTCTAGAGGGTGGCTGGCACTTTAGGGTTGTGAATCTCCTCCCCTGAGGGACAGAACATGTTGGAAGGCAATCTGGCACACAGAAAGCTCATTGCTAAGACATGGTGCACCATAATTCACATGAACCACTTTGAACACCACTTCCACACAATCAGCGAGCAATAAGGAAGAACTAAATGTCAGTCAGCGGGCTCTCACCTCAGTAGCTCCTCTCCAACTCCTCACGGCATCCTCCAGCTCCCTGGTGGGGCTCATGTCACTGGACCCGGGAGAGTTCTTGCGCTCCTGTGCCATCGCTTCCGCAAAACATGCGTGTGCCACAGGCTGCACCTTCTGTAAAGCCTGGGACAAGAACTGAAAATGAACCTGCATCACAGTCAAGAAACAGCGGCCAAGCACCTGCAGAGACAAAAAGGGGGATTAGTCAGAGATGCAGTTAAACAGGACAGCAAAACCTTTCACAATAAATATTCAGTAAGCAATTAAGGCAAGAAAGGCCAAATGCATCAAAATCATTCACACAAGTTTTTTTTTTTCCTTTCTCATAAAAGCTTTATTAATTGCTGTTATCACATACCGAAAAAATCTAAAAAACATTGTCCATGTGCCATTTCAGTGTCAGCAGAAGTTTCCTCTTCCCTATAAAAATCCTCAGGTACCAGGTTTAAGGCAACAGTTTCATGAACAGGAATGTCTGCTCAGCCAAATATTACCATTTATGTAATAGGGATAGGTGTGGAGGACAAAGAAAAAGGGGAATAGGGAGGTGGGAGAGGAAGTGGGAGCAAGATCGAAAGGAAGGGGGGCAAGGAAGAGAGGAAAGAAAGGAAGCGGCAGGAGGCGAGGTGAGGCGGAGAGGAGCGGCAGGAGGCGAGGCGGGGGAAGCGGCAGGAGGCGAGGCGGGGAAGCGGCAGGGGAGGCGAGGCGGGAAGCGGCAGGAGGCGAGGCGGGGAAGGAGGCACGGGAAGGCGGAGGCGGAGAGGCAGGCAGCGGAGAGGGGAGGAGGAAAATGAGGCAACGAGGAGGGGAGGCGGCGGCAGAGGCAATGAGGAGGCGGGAGAGGCAACGAGGCGGGGAGGAGTCGGGAGAGGCAACAGGGGGGGGGGAGGGGCGGGAGAGGCAACGAGGGAAGGAGGGGGGGAGTCGGGAGAGGCCACGAGGAGGGGAGGAGGCGGGAGAGGCCACGAGGAGGGGAGGCGGCGGGGGAGAGGCCACGAGGAGGGGAGGCGGCGGGAGAGGCCACGAGGAGGGGAGGAGGCGGGAGAGGCCACGAGGAGGGGAGGCGGCGGGGAGAGCCACGAGGAGGGGAGGGGCGGGAGAGGCCACGAGGAGGGGAGGCGGCGGGAGAAATTCATGTGCATCAGAGATCCCTTAAATGCACATCTGAGTAGCTGTATTTGTGTTTAAGAAGTTGCTTCTGAATTGCACTGAGCTACTCCAAGCTGTGTGTTCACTTTGATTTCTTTTGGGACAAAATGCATATAAAAGCTCATGTTAAAAATGATGAAATACTTTAATGACATCTTACAAGACTGTGCCCATAAGTTTTATTTGCTGTTCCGTTTTAAGAAATATAAATTATGCCTTTATTATGAAAAAAAAAAAAAAGTAAAATCTCAGCAAATCTTTTACTACACAAAGCAACGCGGAGAGCTCCCAGAATGGAGTGCGCAGAAATAGTTTGGTATAAGGAAGAGCTGAGGCCTAATACTTCTATTTTCCCCTATTGACAAGTACAAACAAAGAGGCTTCAGAGCGCCGGCGTCCCTCACAACACAGCTGGCTTCACATGGGGAGGAAACAGGAGTTCTATTTTAGTCCCTTGACGTCGGCACGAACGCGAAGCATGGCCTGTCAAACAAGAAATCGTAATGCTCGTTCTCCAGGCAGTTGAATACATGAATGGAGGATCACAGCCACCAAACAGAAAACACATCGGCTACTGTAGCCGACTTTCCGCAGGCCCCACAAACACACACTGTATGTCAGAGAGGAAACATTTTTATGTGTCTACGATGTGTCCAGCCGCTAATGGAATTTCAGCCCCGTCTCACACTATCTGGATTCAATAACACAGAGACCAAACCTTTCTCCAGAGACTGCTGGGGCTGTGCGTCCACAGAAAACCTCCACCACATAGGGGGGCATTGCAGGCTTAAACCATATTTTTGGTATTAATCACAAAAAGAGTACAATGGCAGAAGTCAATAGAGAGTATATAGGATCCCGGACAAGAATGAGATTTTAACTGCATAGCCTAGGTGGCATTTTTCTAAAAGATTAGTTTAAAGAGGATTTGTTACTTTTTCCATTCAGAACAAAGTGACAGGTTCTCTTGTATCAAAAACCAAACCCACCAGTACCTGACTTATTTCCCTGGAGTGGAACTAAACCTCCTATTTCCAGCCAAAGAAGCTGCCACCTTGGCCTCTGATCCTCAACTACCATGATGCTGCACATGTGATCAGTTAGGACAAGCAGCCATTTGATGGTTTGACAGTTTGGTTGAAAGCGCAAGAAAATAGGCGTTACATCCCAGCATGTGCCAGAAAATTTAACTTTTTTGAAACTCTTAACATCTTCCCACCTGCCCATTGCACATAGATAGCAGATGGGAAGCTTTGCCGATGCGGGTAACGTACCTGTATGACAGCCCGCATCGATGGCTCCTGCGTGGCTCACAGAGCGCGCACCCTGGAGCCCGGCGATCGATGCGACGCTGTAATGCTTGGACATAGACGCTGTGTCCGGGCGATCACTGTCAGGCTGCTTGTACACTCACAGACTCCACTCCAGTGTCCCTGATCACTGCCCCAGTATATACATAATAAAACATGTAGCCAGCCCGTCACCTGTCTGAGTGTGCAAAAAAACACCCCATATACCATACCAATGTCCCGATCTCCGCCACACCCCAAAGCGGCGTCCCGATCACCGCCGCACCCCCTAGCGGCGTCCCGATCACCGCCACACCCCCTAGTGGCGTCCCGATTACCGCCGCCACACCATATAGCGGCATCCCGATCACCGCCACACCCCATAGCGGCGTCCCGATCACCACCACACCCCATATTAAAGTCCTGATCCCTGCCATATCCCACATCAGCGTCCTGATCACAGCCTTATCCCACACCAGCGTCCTGATCACCCCCATACCAGTCCTGATCACCCCCATACCAGCGTCCTGACTACTGCCATACCAGCGCCCTGATCACCGCCAAACTTCATGCCAATGTCCTTGTCACGGTATAGGGGCCCCTGACAATTATTGATTTCATTTAATCCCCTTACTAATTCCCTGTGCCAAACGTCCCTCAGATTCTGTCTCTGTATGTCCCCCCGTGTCACTCTACCAAATGGCCAAATTCAATTATTGTGGCTTCCCCCCTCCCGGCCAGCTTGCTGTATGTCCCCAAGTTGCCCTCCATAATTCCTGACACCGGCCCCTCTGATATCCCTGGGGGGTCCGGTGTCATCCTGGCCATCCCGTCCCCTGTCGAATGCTCAATTCATCCCTGGGGTCTAGTGTCCCCCCCCCTCCACCTCTCATCCTGCCGCAGTGGGATGAGAGAGGTGCGACTTTCACCACCCCTGCCCTATCTTCTCCCTCTCCTGCAGAGAAGGTGTCGAGGTTCACACCTCTCCACAGAGAAGTGCGAACCTCCCGCAGGGATGTTCCAGGCTACGGCATCTCGCTGATGCCACCTCAGCTCTGTCATCTTGCGAATGTCCCTGGACAAAGGCCACGCTCACAAGAGGTGCAGCCCCTGTCCAGGGGGCATGCATCGTTGCCTCGTTACCTAGACGACCAGGGAGCGCTCCGGTCTTCTGTCACCGCTGCGCAGTCACCGAAGGAGCCCAGCTGCGGCGGGACCTTCGTGACTGGACTCTGCAACCCCCCCAGCCACATGGGGACCCGCACCCAAGCCTGCCAGAGATTGCCTGCCAGCGCCAGAGACTCCCAGTCCAGGGGAAGGATTGCCAGAGACCCCCCAGCATAGGGGGAGAGGTTGCCAGAGATTGCCTGCCAGTGCCAGAGACCCCCAGTCCAGGAGAAGGATTGCCAGAGACCCCCCAGCATAGGGGAGAGGTTGCCAGAGATTGCCTGCCAGTGCCAAACACCCCCAGTCCAGGAGAAGGATTGCCAGAGACCCCCCAGCATAGGGGAGAGGTTGCCAGAGATTGCCTGCCAGTGCCAAAGACCACCAGTCCAGGAGAAGGATTGCCAGAGACCCCCCAGCATGGGGGAGAGGTTGCCAGAGATTGCCTGCCAGTGCCAGAGACCCCCAGTCCAGGAGAAGGATTGCCAGAAACCCACCCAGCACAGGGGACAGATTGCCTGCCAGCTGCCTGAGGACTCAGCCCAAGCGGGGAGACCACCCGCATGATCCAGACTCCAACAGGTACCTGTGTTCCGCTTTCACCCCTGGGAGACCAGGCACCCTGTCGGATCTGTGAGTACATGCTTCCCCCCTGTTTTACCTGAACTGTTGCCATACTGACCCCGCCCCCCCTTGTTGGATTACAACTGCTACAGAGACGCTTCCTTGGCTCTCAGTGTTGGACTATAAGTGATTGGCCCCTCCTTGCTACCCTTTACTGGCAAACTCCCCCTCCCTGCGATTGAGTGACTGTCATCTGTGTGTCTCAATAAAGCTTTGTGCGTTTGCCATCCACTCTGTGTTCTGTCCTGCCTACGCTCCGTCACAGTCCTGCTTACCGCAATACCCCATACCAGCGTCTAGCATTTTAGGGTCTTAACTGATCAATTTTCAAATATATATCCCATAGCTTGTAGACGCTATAGCTTTCACACAGACTAAACAACATGTATGGCCAGCCTACAACTGGAGCACTCAGAATCTGATGCAGCTGTGCATAGCAGCCAATCAGCTTCTAACTTCAGCTTATTCAATTAAGCTGTGACAATAAAACCTGGAAGCCTATTGGTTTCTGTGCAGAACTGTGCCAGATTTTGCACCCTCCAGTTTTAGTAAATAACCCCCCAAATGTCCAATATAAAATGCTAAATTTGTCTAAGACAAATGATTACTTATAAAAAATAGAGTCCAAAAATTATTCTACAATTTAAAGTTCAACTCCAGAAATTACTCAAAAATTACCTATGTAGTGGGGTCTCCCATACTGCAAAGGTTGAACGCTCACCAAGTCCTGGAGGTGCAGAAGGGGCATGAGAGCTGGGCTTTAAAAAAGGATTATTTAAAATATAAACCGAACAGATGTTATTACTAACAATAATAGATTGTACGCCCCCTTGAGGGTTAGGGACCTTAGATTGTACGCCCCTTGAGGGTTAGGGACCTTAGATTGTACGCCCCTTGAGGGTTAGGGACCTTAGATTGTACACCCCTTGAGGGTTAGGGACTGATGTGAATGTA